TTAGCAACAGCTAGCACAACCTCGTCCACTCCATAGGACACATTTGAAAATGGAGCGCAGCAGTCTCAGATTTTGACCTTGGCTGCTGGCACTTTAAATGCAGCTACTTATGATCCGATACTGTGAGTTTAAAATGTGAACAACCGTTGGGATTCGTCCTCTTTTGACTGAACACATTATTTTTTATGTAAAACTTTCTTCGTTCAGGTTTTACTAAATAAAGTTCTGTTTGTCTTCCAGACATTCGTTTTGAGCTGCGAGAGCCTGAGGGACAGAAACGGCCTCCAGTCTCATCCGGTGGTGGTAAGAGGACCTTTGACCTCTTGAGACGTTCCTCGGACTCTGGACATTATAATCAAATAAAAATTTAATGTTGATTGAACAGGTGAAGCTGCGGAGGAGGGGTGATGGGGAGCGAGAGAGAACCCGCGGATCAACGAAATCCAAAACGACGAAAAAGGGTGGGAGTTTTGTTTTTCAAGAAAAAAGACATTGATTATAATAAATGAATGAATTATTGATTCAATCAGAGGGAGGAAAAAAGAACAGAAACAAAGTATAAAATATGAGTTTAAAAAGGCTAAAAACTTATTTTTATAAAAACATTTATTCTATCTTTATAACACATTATGTAATTACTCACATTTTTTATTAACAGGTCTATTAAATATTGTGAATTTTCAATTTAGTTTAATTGTTAAAAATATAACATACAGGATGGTTTGTTATTACATAATACAGCACTTTATCACATTTCTGTAAATAAGAAGCACAATAATAATTTATTATTAGTCTGTGATATAGAATGAAAATTTAAAAAACATCTAAGTATCAATAGAAATTGAGGTCAGATAAAGGGCTGAAGATTATTATTTATTCTTTATTGTTTTGTTTGTGTGTAGAAACGCAGTAAAAAAAAAAAAAAACTCGGTCTTCACTCCCTGGAGGAGCCCACTTGGAGGCGCCACAGAACCACCAAGGTTCTTTAGTGTCCTCTCGTTCTCTTCTATTTACACCATTACAACATTTAATGTACAATGTGTCCTCATCTTCTTATTTCACTGTGTTGTTTGTTTGTATATTTATCTTATTTGGGTCTGTTTCACATAATTTTTATACATTCAATCGTCAATAACCAGCGCAAAATGTTGAGGGGAAACAGCAGAGTTTATCTCCCTAAACTGCTGAAGTTAAATGTGGTTTGTTTGTTTGTTTTTCGTTTGTTTGTTCCTCAGATGTTAAGGAACCAACGGCGGTTGCAGCAGTGAAGGACGACGGGGAGTGAATTATGAAACTGTTTGGGGGTGATTTATGTTTTATGGTATTCATTCTCTGGTCTGACGGCACCAAAAACACACCAGGAATGAGTTACTACATGTTCCCATGATTGCTCCATTCCCACTGGCTCTGTTTGTGTGTGTGTGTGGTGTGTGTGGTGTTGTTGTGGTGCAGGGTAAATCACTTGTAGAGGGAAAACCTGTCCCGTTCACTCCCTGGAGAGCCAACCTGGGGCGCCACAGAGCCACGGTGTTGTGTTTCATCTGTTTATTTATTATTATACATATAAAATAATATAATAATTTTGATTATTTCCACTAACTGATCAATATTGATCATTAATGATGGATGCAGAGCGACAGCGGCTATAACACATTAATTTAGATTCATTTTAGGAATAACATGTTTTAAAATGTAAATTAATGTAATGATCAGTTATAGCCACATTTCAGTGATCAGTGATCAGTGATCAGTGATCAGCTTTAGTTCAATGAAAAAACATTTCCTATGCCACCTTTACATATTTCTATGTCAATGATTGATTTTACCGACTTTTTAAGGGATTGTTGTGACCTAAAATGTCTGATTTCACAGCAGCTTGTCTAAAACATTGTGATGCATGGTGTGCACTGGTTGGAGGGTAAATGCGAGACCTTCGCGTTGCATCGACACAACTAGAAACAAGGAAGTGAGTTTGGTGACGTATGAAGCAACATTTTGTGAAAGAAAGTTGCAGTGATTCATCGGACATGACAAGGTCATACAGAATTCACAGGAATCGGTTGAATTTTAATGAATAGACAGAAAAAAAACCCGATTAGATTTGCAAATGTATTTTAATCTTTTTAATTGGAAAAAAAGGAATTTTTCTTTAAATAAGCAGTAATTTCATGATAACACAGATTTTTTATGTTATTTGACATTAGACATGTATCCATGCAAAAGACAAACTCTGAAACTCAGGACTTAAAAGAAAGAAAGAACACTTAAAAACACAAAAATAAATAGGGTTTGAGTTATGTGGGGGCCACTGGGTCTGAGCTCCTGGATCCTCCCACTTGTTGAGCACTACATAGGACCGGGTACTGTGCACCGTGCAACCACCGTCTGTCTCTTATTTGTGCGAAGGATAGAAGTCGTCATTTAAATGTAAAAAGAAGACGAGATTAAACAGAGGAGGGAAAGAAAGAAAACAGGCAGGAAGAAAAAGAAATAACAGTAAATAAAGAACCTGAAATGAGTTAGCATGTTAGCCCCTCCGGTTCCTGCTCCTGACGTCAATGAGTTTGTGGTTAGATGCCTGAAATAAAGTCTGGTGGTTAACAGAAGATTAAGAGATTTTAATTTAACAAAATTTAATCACAAGTCAAAAGTTTAATGGTGGTGAAGTCATGTGACTGTGGTGTAATTCATTTATAGGGTAATGTTAGCGTTTTACTTCTGGAGATCACCTTCAAAAATCATTTGTGAAGATTATCATTTATTTTCCACAGTAATCCAAAATCCAATGGAGCAATCTGATTGGCTGTTTATAGAAGCAACCAGGAAGATGCTAACTTCCTGTTTGGACTACAAAAACACGTCATCCCTGCAGCTCTCTGTTACTAAAACTGTCTCTGTGCACAGATCTGAACTGCTCCACTCCTCGAGACTCCGACCACATCTACCACGACATCGGAGGAGGGCGGACCAATGACGAGCCAGGGGAGGAGCGCAGCGCTCGCTCTGCGGCGGCAGATTTGAGCGAACACGACAGGAATTCAATGTATGCACGAGTCAGCAAGAAGGACAGACTGACCACGCCCCCCGTTCAGACACCTGAGGAGGTACAGGTGAAGGAGGAGGAAGAGGAGGAGCCTTCACCTCCACTGCCGGACAGGATGACACAGCTGGAGGGATGATGATGATGAAGGACAGACGAGAGACGATGAAGAAAGGCAGCTAAAAATTAAAGACTGCCGATAAAGGACAAGAGATTGAAGACGGAGGACGTCCCATAAACTAAATCTCACCTTATATTGATATTGATCGTTTCCAATCAGCCAATACCTTTTTCATTGATTTCATTCCTTCCAAACAGCCACAGTTCATTTCTCTACAAATTAACTTTCTATAATTCATATGATTTATACTTTTTATATTTTGTATATAAGATTACTGAACTGCATTCAGCTGCTTTATGTGACCTCCGCTGACTTCAAAGATATTTGGTTCAATAAAGGTTTTGGGACAGAAACTGATGATCAATACAGTGATGATTCTCTGATTTTTAGAATGTTTTTGTATGTAAGTTTGTCGTGATGGTGGCACTAGAGGAAAGGTCAGGGGTCATTAAAATCAGTAGGATTCATCTTCTGGTCAAATATTTGGTTGCAATTAACGAGTTGGTGAACTAGCTGGTGAGCTAATCGCTAAATTGCCAGCCAGGTTAGCCTAGGCTAATGCGAGTCATTTGAACTGGAACATCCCCTGAAGTCGGATTTTCAACTAGGAACAACCTCAAAATCCAAAATGTGCGTAATTCATTGTTATCAACTGCTATTGCTAACAATGGCTAATGGCTAGCCTACCGATGGGTCGCACTGGAACGCCGTCAACTCAGGTGTGACGTCATTCCGAGCTTCCGAGGTAAATGTACCGCAACAAAAGTTATTGAGGATTATAAAAGCTCTCCAAGCTAACAAGCTTGCTAACAGTCAGTTAGTTTCCTGAATAGCGTAGCTCCAATGCTAACAGGAGAATGAGTTCACACAATTTATTTAACAGTAGTAAATTTACACGAGTCACGAAAAGACGTGAATGCACTAGACCGGACGAAAAAGGAGATTGCTCAGAGAAAAGAGAAGTTGGACTTAAAAATGATTTGATTCCAGCTAAGTTAGCATAACTCTGATCAACCAAACTCCATTTAACAAACATTTTTCTCGTCGTCTTGCAGACAGATGGACAAAGATTGAATTCAGACTTTTTACAAATAATCATGATGTTGTCATTCAGCATTATTTTGATCAGTTTATTGGAATTAAATCACAGTAAAATCAATAGCTTCCTCCATTTTGGACTCTCCGGCTCTCCATCATAAAAAGAGCTCAGGGGAATTTTATTTGTGTCACTGGGCAGAACTGTATCTGTACTCTGTCAGTGTGGTTGGTCAACAGCGTGAATTCATGTGTCAAAGTTCACCAAAGTTCAACCCCCAACACTGATTCCTCTGATATGAACTGAACTGTGATCAAATTCACTCTTTTTTTTTCACTCTTTTGACTTGAAAAAAACTTTATTAGTGGTATGTTGAAAACTTTATGAAAAGCTTTATGATTGATGGTGAAAGTTTGGAGGAAAGTTGCAACATTTATAAACTGAGTGTGAGTCAGATGATGCTGCTGTGTCATGGTGGTTGTGTGTGTGTGTGTGTGTGTAACATCCTACAGTGATTAACTGAGTCACAGTTCAGCCAGTGTCAACCAGCACGTTCACCACGTCGAGCAGCTCACTGTTTCTGCTGAGCGTGCAGATTGTAACAGCAGCTGTCAGAAAGGAAAACTCCAGTTTATGTTACTGGTGTCGGTTTCTTTCAGGAGCTGATTCACCCACAGGAACGCCGTCATGTTGAC